GCCGGAACAGGTAATCCTGGCGGATCCCATGCACTATGGACGCCAAGCGATGGATTAAATGGGCAACCAGCACAATCAGGTCCTTTACCTGGCCCAGAGGACAAAATCCCAGGTGAAACTACAGATGGCAGCGGCCCCTACCCACCTGACCTAACCGGCACGGTCCTTACCGCCACTACTCCCGTGCTGTTATTTCTCGCTTCCGTCATCGTGGCCGTTCTTGGTTATTCCCTTTGGAAGGTAAGTATATACGGCAATCCGGGCATGCCGCATGTGCAGCATTTTTATACCTTAGAACATCCCAACCGGCTCCCATATATGATCGTTCTAAACAATATGCCCCTACACCCGCGTTCATTCCTTTTATCCTACCGTCCTCACCCTCCTCTTTACCCCCCTTTTTTTGTGTAGTACTTTGCCTTCCTCGGACAAAAACGCCGACGAACATATCGAACCGTTCGTGACGTGCCGTCACCGCCACTCGACGACGAAATATTGGACCATCTACAACGCGGCGGCGCGCCGCCACCCGATTACGGGTACAAAATGATTAGGGATAGGCAACCTCCGTCCACATCCGGTAGCGCACGCCCCCCACGCGTGCATACACGCACGATTATCGAACTACACTTAGAAGTGCTCAACCAATGTGAAGCGACAGATTGGGAAAACGTCAAAGAGGACTATTTGCAGATTGTAGTGAAGCAGTTTGCACCGGAGTTTGCGCAGGATTTGCTGCGGGACGACGACACGAATAACAACATCTTGGGTGTTTCTACGTCAGACCAAGATCCTCCAGGGACCCATGTTTCAGCCAACGCAGACCGACCGCGTCATTACCGCGCCCGTCATCCCACCTGCGACGCCCCCGTTCCAGCCACACACACACCCACCTGTGCTGCTCCTGAGCTCGCAATCACACAAACACCAGGCTCCGGTAACGCAGTCACAGACACACCCACATGTGCTGATCCTACGCCCGAAATCACACAACCACCAGGCTCCGGTAACGCAGTCACAGACACACCCACATGTGATCATCCTCAGCCCGTCATCATACATCCACACACCAACGCCCCAGTCACAGACACACCCACAGACCACACAGTCACGCACCTACCCACATGCAAAGCAGTCACAGACACACCCACATGTGATCATCCTCAGCCCGAAATCACACAACCACCAGGCTCCGGTGACACAGTCACGGACATACCCACATGTGCCGCGGTCACGAACGTACCCACATGTAAAGCAGTCACAGACACACCCACATGTGCGGATCCTAAGACCGACATCACACAACACACAGTCACAAACGACACAGTCACAGACACACCCCCACATGCACCTCCAAAGCCCGCAATCATACATCCACACACCAACTCCCCAGTCACAGACACACCCACATGTGAGGATCCTAAGCCCGACATCACGCAACACACACTCACAAACGACACAGTCACAGACACACCCACATGTGATCATCCTCAGCCCGAAATCACAGACATACCCACGCACGACATAGTACCGGACATATCCACATGTGCTGATCCTAAGCCCGAAATCACAGACATACCCAAACACGACACAGTAACAGACAGACCCACACGTGACGCAATGACGCACATACCCACATGTGACGCAGTCACAGACAGACCCACATGTCATGATCCTGAGCCAGACATCATACCACCAGCAGACGCAGGCGCCACAGTCACAGACACACCAACACGTGACGCACTCACCGACACCGCCACGCGTGCGGCTCCTACACCCAGAATACCAGAGCACGTAGTTACAGGCGCCACAGTCACAGACACACCCACATGTGACACAGTCACAGACACACCCACATGTGATCATCCTCAGCCCGACATCACACAACACACAAGCACACACGCCACAGTCACGGACATACCCACATGTGACACAGTCACGCATACCACCACATGTGAGGATCCTAAGCCCGAAATCACAGACGTACCCACATGTAAAGCACTCACAGACACACCCATACGTGACACAGTCATGGACATACCCACATGTAAAGCAGTCACAGACACACCCACATGTGATCATCCTCAGCCCGACATCACACAACCACCAGGCTCCGGTAACGCAGTCACAGACACACACACATGTGATGATCCTACCCCGGACATCACACAACACACAGTCACAAACGACACAGTCACAGACATACCCACATGTGACACCGTCACGCACACCACCACATGTGAGGATCCTAAGCCCGAAATCACAGACATAGGCACACGTGACGCAGTCACGCACATACCCACATGCGCTGATCCTAAGCCCGGAATCACAGATATACCCACACGTGCAATAGTCACGGACATATCCAAATGTGCGGCTCCTACACCCAGAATACCAGAGCACGTAGTTACAGGCGCCACAGTCACAGACACACCCACATGTGAGACCGTCACGGACACACCCAAACACGATAAGGTCACAGACATACCCACATGTTACACAGTCACGCACGTACCCACACGTGAAGATCCTAAGCCCGAAATCACAGACAGCCCCACATGCGACACAGTCACAGACACACCCACATGTGATGATCCTAAGCCCGACATCACACACCAGTT